ATCGCATGAAAGAACGTCACTGTGAGCGCAGTGCTGTGTGCCAACAGGACAGAAACCTGCAATAAATAGCTGATCATTATTTAAAAGGTTTCAGAAACAGGCCTAGTGGTTCTTGAAGTATAATGACATCTCACGAATCTAAGAACAGAGGAAGACAGACATCTGAAAATGTAAAGTCCCCCAAAAAATACTGTGGAGAGAACAAGGAAACGAACACCAAGCATGCTCAATTGAAATCAATTTTATGTTTCAAAGAAGAAAGCCAAAGACCCTTTACTTTCACTTCTTCACGTGATCACGCCAGTTGGTAGGACTAGCTTCCTGAAGAATCCAGATCTCTGGCTAGCTGTTTCCTCAAGGCCTCTGGGCTGAGAAGGGCTGATTTCACGCTTCTAAGCAGAAGCAGACTCTGAGTCATCACTAGCCCCTGGTGGCAGCTCCGGTCGGTCCAGAAGCCGGATGGATACCCGCACTGCACAATTTCATCCCATGACCATTTCCAATGCGACAGGAATTCTGCCGAGGCTGCAGTTAGTGCGCCAAGCTCCCTGGAACCTGAATCTAGTGAGCCATGAGACAATAGGCGTCAGTCTTAGCATTCTGGCACACACCTGTCCAGGAGGATGGAGAGTGTGAGGTCAGCCGCTGGGTCTCAAATGAACAAAAAGGGGGTTGGAGATTTAGCTCAGTTGAAGAGCAGTTGCCTGGCGAATGCAAGGCCCTGAGTTCAGTCCTCAGCTCTGGAAGGAAAAAAAAAAAGCAAAACTGGGAAGGTCAGTGGGTGCAATCGTTATGCGTCTGTTCTCACCCAAGAGACATCGGCAGCGTGCTCTGGTCTTCGTCACGGCTGAGCCACTGTTGTTTGCATAGCGACTCTCTGGTCAGCCTCTCTCTGCTAAGAGTTTGAGGTGCATTTACAGCAAGTAAGAGCAGAGTCCAGGGGATGATATCTGCTCAGCTGAGTGGCACCGGTGAGAAGCGTGGACACAGAAGGCCAACTGTATCTTGTATTCCTCATTTTTAACTCGTTTCCTGCTTTTGATGTGAGCTGTAGCCGACCACGTGTGAGAGAAGCTGACACCTTCTGCTTTTTTAGTCTGTGTTTGTTGGTAGCCAATTACTATCCAGTATTTATGCATAAATGTGTATATGAATATATATACATATTTATATGAATGTGACTTCCTTTTAATGCTACTTAAACTTGAACTCGGGAACTTGTCCTTGCTAGGCAGGCATTCTATTACCTTAGCCACACTTCTAGCCCTTTTCACTCTAGGTTGTTTTTTGGTCCTGGGACTTAAGCTCAGGGTCTAGTTGATGCCCATGAGCTTTTTGCTCAGTGTGTGCTCTACCACTTGAGCTGCAGCTCTACTTATAGCTTTTTGCTAGTTAATTAGAGATAAGAGTCTCATAAACATGTCTGTCCAGGGTTGGCGTTAAACCATAAACCTCAGAGCAGCCTCCTGAGTAGCATTACAGCCCTGGCTGTGTAAACAGTTTTTACACAGGGCTCACTTTCGCTCCAGCCAGCCACAAACAACAGTCCCCCTACCTCTATCTCCTGAGTGGCCCGGGTTACAGAAGGTAACTACCATGCTTTTGGATGAACCTTCTCATTAAACTTCTTACCCAAGCTGGCATCAATCATGATCTTCCTATCTCTCCCTCCCACGAAGCTGGGACTCAGGTATAAGGCACTGTGCTGATCCGTGGTGGTGTTAGGAAGTACAGGAGTAACCGACAGAGGTTTGCAACACAGCCGATCGTTTTTAGTGGCACGTCTTCTGCCCGGAATCCTGCTGCACCTGCAGGAGCGCGGGACCATGCCGAAGCGCCGGCCACCTCCCGCCATCTCCCCTGCGGGCTCCGGTCAGCTCCCCTGCGGGGCGCCGGGCGCAGCACGTTCCCTCGGGCCGCGTGCCCAT